ACATGAGAACGACCGCGGGAGGCGGTTTCTTGATGTTGCCTGCAGCACATGCAAGGGCGGGGGAAACATATTAGAACTTTAGGGGGGGGGGGGGGAACCACTGCACGCTCGGTTAGAACATGCCGCTCACCCGTTGGTGTCAGTGTGCACATGCCGTCCTGCTCGAACCACGTCAGGTGTTGCTGGCGCACGCTGGCCTTGAAACTTTTGTTCAGCGACACATCGAGAGGCTGAATTTCTGCCATGCAGCCCGCCCGGATGACCACTGGCACGATGTTGTACTGGGCGGATTTTTTCTTCACCTCGTCTGTCAGGTGACCACGGTTGGAGTCGAGGACGAGCATCGCGCTCCGCCCCTGCACGCCAAACTTCGGCTTGATAAACGGCTCCACTACCTTGTCGAGCCACTCGATGACGTTATCCGCCGCCATCCATCCATTCTCTTGACAGCCGACTACCACATCTGCGCAAGAAGACACGGTCGTTAACTTTTGTGTAATAAAACCACATCACACAAACAAAGCATCGATGCGCTTAATGTTGGGGAAGTCTCCCTTTGGCATGGTCTTGCGCTTGAAAAGCACCCACGGCTTCAACTTCTCTCCCGTTTCCGTGCACACAAGCATCACGGTGACTCTCTCTTTCTGGTACCCACCGCTCCGGATCGGCACCGACTTCACGCCCGTCTGCTCCACGGTGGTTGTCGCCGGCATCTCCAGCCACAGAGGCGGCTGGTCGGCGTTGATGATATAACAATTGTCGATGTTGTACTCATGCCGGGCTTCACGTACAAACGTCCAGAACTCCTTGCACGTGGTCGACACGTCTGCGCATGGGGAGGAAAGGACGTAGTGGAAGGCGGATTATTAACATGTTTAAAATACAGGGTCAGGAGTAAACATAACAATAAGAATAGCATGCGAAGTCGCGGAAATTCAACAGAAACCAGGGTACTCACGTTGCTTGGTTTTCTGTGCCACCTTGGTTTTCATGCGCACGCTGAGGTTCCATCGCTTGCGAAACCGCTCCGACCATCGCTGACTGCCTTTCCAGTTAACATCCGGGAAAAGAACCTTCATCACCTCGCGAGACCACTCCTTCAGACGGCCCACCGACACTGCAACACCGCGGCACCGCCAGTCGAGGAGTTGCGCGTAGACCTTAATATCCATCGCCCGGTACCACGACGATCTACCGCGCCCGTGTAACCGCTTCCGTGCGCTGTGGGCGTCCTTGAGCTCTTGCGCCTGGTTCTTCAATTTCGTCAAGCACTTGAGGTGGATGTCGGACTCCCGCGCCACCTCGGATACCGATGCCGCAAGCTCCAGGTGCAGGAGCCACTTGACCTTCTCCTGGGCGGTGTAGGAGCTACGCTTGTGTTGCGACAGCTTATGCCTGGGACAGGGGGGGCGGGCATCTCGGTTCTCAGAAGAGGGGTGGGGACGTTTTTAATTAATAGGTGGGTAAGTAGGAATCGACATCTTCTCGCGTGGCCCGTCACGCCACCAGGACTCCACGCCGTCGTCGTCCGCGGTGCCCGCACAGCCCTCTGGGAACACGTCCGCCTCTGTGCCAGCCTCGGCACCCGTTTCACTGTCGCCACCCGTTTCGCCATCGCCGCGGGGCTGCTCGTCGGCGGCAACATCGTCGTCAAAGCACACAGCCGACTCGTCCCACGTGCAGTCTTCGGCCTGTCCCCAACGTGGAAGTTTAGGCGGTGGAGCTTCGACGTACACATCGGCGGGCTTGTCGGACTCCGGTTCAGACAGCCACTCGTCGAACGTCGCTGGCAGCAGGAGCTGGAGCACGGGCCGTTTGCCCGTGTAAGCGGTACTTGTAACGTTAGCAGGCGGATTCGGAGGAGCGGGAGGAGCAGGAGGAGCAGGTGGAGTAGGGGGTTCAGGCAGCGCTGGAGGCGCTGGTGGCTCAGGTGGCTCTGGAGCCTCAGGGGTATACCACCCGTCGTCGGTTAATCGCCACACGCGCTTGGGTTGTTTCTTAAAGAGGAAGTGGGTCCCGGTGAATTCCGCCATGGCTTCGCCAGCCAGGCGGGCTTGAGCAATAAAATTAATGAAAAACAGAAAGTGGGGGTGCAGACTTGGGAAACGGAGGGGACCCCTGCAGGGGTGGCGGCTCGGGGTCCTCGTCAGATTCAGGCGGGAAACCCCCGCCTGAACCCGCAGAGGACCCTGCGTGGCAGCATAATTGCACCGCTGGCAGGGAATCTTCCGCACCCTTCGAGAGGGTTCGGATGTGTCAGAGTACGAGCAGAAGTTTAGAAACAGAAAGAGGGCTTTCACTAGCAGCAGTTGGGATACAAATAGCAAACCCTAACTGAGTTGTACTCGCTATAGAGCACCCCACTGCAGGCTAGATAATATAACATTCTGACACACCCCCATAGCCAAAGTGGGGTGTAATCAGCACAGCAAGCAGCAGTTCATAGAGTTCACAAATAATAAGCAAAGCCAGAGGCAACCACAAAGGGCAAGTGAGGAGGAGGAGGAACCGTAAGGGAAAAGAAGATAGGAGACGACGGTTGAAGCTGCAGACACACGGGCAACATGAGTGCGCTCTGCGACTCAGTGGCTACCGGGAGCTAGTGCCTCGGAATACAGGAGTAACAGGCTCTGCGGCTGCGACGAGCGGCAGGAGCAACGGACCCACGGGCGACAGGTGCAGCAGGCTCTCTGAGCTACCGGGAGCAAGTGCCCCGGAATACAGGCGCTGCGGACGACACGACGGCAGCCTCCTCTCAGCCTCCCCAAACAGTCCCACCCCCCTGACACACACCCCCTGCTTCACCCCTAACTCCATTCCCACGTCACCCCCCAGTTCCACTCCCCACGGCTCCCACACCTCCACCCCCCTCAGCGGCAGCTGCAGCAGTGGGAGACGGAAGGGGAGGAGGAGGAGCAGGTGAGGTACACACTCGCCACCCCCATACGCTCCACCCCCAAACCCTAATACAGGAGCACGGGCAGCAGAGGGTGTGGGGCGCGGTCAGAAGCTCGGGGGACGGCGCGCGGCTCAGGGGCAAACGGTACGGGCCGCCCACGGGCCTGGCGAAGGCCGGACGAACCGCGCGGGGGCGGCCCGAGCCGCGCGCGGGCCTGGCGCAGCCCGTACTGGCCGCGCGCGGGCCTGGCGCAGTCCGTACGAACCGCGCGCGAGTTGTACGGGCCGCGCGCGGGTCCCCACGGCAGCGTGACGGGAGGACGGGCCCGCGCGCGGCCTGCAGGGCGACTCGACGGGAAGGGCAGGGGCTGCGCGCGGGTCCCCCAAGGCAGCGCGACGGACAGGGCGGGGGCTGCGCGCGGGTCCCCCACGGTAGGAAACCGCCGCGCGCCTCGGGGCGCACGGCGGGCAGAAAACCGCCGCGCACCCCGAGCGCGCGGCGGGATGAAAAAACGCCGCGCGCTCCGGGCGCGCGGCAGGAACAAAGGGTCACGCGCCCGGGGCGCGCGACAGTAGTAGAGCAGCGGAAGCGGTTAGGTGGTGGGCCCACCCACAGGATCGACCCAAGGGGGTCGACCTGCTCTGAAACCATGTGAGAAGTACGAGCAGAAGTTTAGAAACAGAAAGAGGGCTTTCACTAGCAGCAGTTGGGATACAAATAGCAAACCCTAACTGGGTTGTACTCGCTATAGAGCACCCCACTGCAGGCTAGATAATATAACATTCTGACAGGATGAAGTGCACAAGCCACGCAGCGCATGACGCTGTGATTGGGCTGCACCTTCGCGTTATCGCTGGCAGGTGTGATGCTTCTAGACGAAAGTGTGGGGTTAGAAACCGAATCACGTTGCTGTTTTCGCCGGGAATTCATGCACGATCCCACGTGATGGATGATTGGTTGTATTCGCTATACTGAGAGCTTCAATTTGGTATGATTGAAAGTGAATTTCTTTTTTACCATATTAAACGTGCATGCGCTCATAAAATTTACTCAATGACGGTACAAGCGCACCCCCCTAAAAAAACAATGTTTTATTATAAGCACACCTGCGCTTCTATTCGGGGTGATACGGCAGTAACGGGAGAAGAAAAAGTTGGTCCTCTATGCGATGTTGATGTGCGTGGTAAGGAATGCTGAAAATTTCCTTACACGGTAATAACAACGCATAACAATTTGGTGCAAGCCTCCTCAATTTCCGCCTAGTATCGAGGCGGCGTGGAATAGCTACATGGGGTAGCATTTTGGGAGTGGATAGTTGGTGTCGTGAATATGAGGAAATGACGAAGCGCCGTGTTGTCTTGTTTTCGATTCCAATGGGAAGTGGTTTTGACCACGCATCGCTCCGCGCTCGCGCCCAATTCCCACGGGCAGCTTGATTTCTCAATACACGTTTCCTGGGGCAAAACAAATAAAACCTCTAAGGAAAGGCATGGGAATAAGGGATGCATCAACCCTAAACACCTTGCCGCATGGTGTTTAGGGTTGATGCCTCCCCAGCTGGCATGCCTTTCTTGAGAGAGTTTATTGTTTTTGCCCCCGAAAATAGCTTCAATTGTCTATTGAGGCACACAAACTGCCCGTGGGAATTGGGCGCGAGCGCGAAGCGCTGGGCTGTCAAAACCACTGCCCTATTGGAATTGAAAACTAGAAAAAAGGGCGATTCGTCATTTCCTCCGTGAATCTCGAGGGATTAGGATTTCGGGTTTAGAACTTGCGACTGCTCCAATGTGAAGCGGACTGCGGCGAGCATCATGTCACACACAGAACGCGAACACTAATGCTTGCGACCCGTCGCATTTCCCCGTCACAAGAAAATGCATTCGCCAGCCGTTTTCTTATAGCCCTCCCGTCCCTTCCCCGTCGCCGTCGCTTCCCCATGCGTCCTCGCGTCCTCCCGCCACCGTCCCCTCTTCCTCTCGCATCGCCGTCCGCGTCGCCCACGCTTCCCTTCCCTGCCGCTGCCATTTCCCCGGAGTCCCATTTTGCTGATCGAGCATTTCACCTTGCGGCGCGCTGACGCACATTAACCACTCCGTGTCGCATGACCGTTCCAGGCGGCGTTGACACGCCAACTTGGAAAGGCTCGTGCCGCGATGAGAATCGAGCGCGGATCGCCCCTCTCGAGGTCGGCAGTGCTGGTCGCCGCGTGGGCTGCGTGCCTCGTAGCCGCTCTCGCGCTCCACTCGCCGCTCTCTCAGGTGCCCTTGCTCCCGTGCCCCCGTTGCTCCCGTGCCTCCCTTGCCCGTGTGCCTTACCCGCCTGCCTCTCTTGCCGCTCCCGCGCGTGCCGTCAATTGCCTTGCCTCCTCCCGGCGCTCTTTCACCCGCCTTCCATCCACCTTCCCTCATCCACCTCGCCTTTCCTATCCACTTTTCCCGTACTTCTCGCGTCCCACCCTCTCCCGCTCCCCGGCCCCACACCCCTCTCTCCCCATTCCCTCCCACCGCACGTAACCGCGGCAGTCCGCGGAGGCCCTTCCGCCCCCATGGGCGCCAGCCGCGGCGGACGGGAGCGCGGATGGGGAAGCACACTGGGTCAGGGCGTGGTTGGTGACAACAACAGGATGATGCATATACTGCAAGATTTCCATGTGAGGGACGTGTTCAGGGAGTTTAATCCGGATGAGCGGCAGTTTACCTTCTACTGTGGGTCGGTGAAAGTCAGCTCACGTATTGAGAGGGTGCTGGTCTCGCAAGCGCTGTTGCATCTTGTTGCCAGAGTGGCTCATCGGCAGATCCCGAAGGGGATCACCGATCATTTGAGCGGGGTCTGTGTGCGGCTGGTGTGGAGAGGCGCGCATGAGCCCGGGCCGGGTGTCTGGCGCTTTCCGGCGAGGTTGGCGAAGCGTCCAGGGGTTAAAGCGGCGGTAGCGGAGGTGGTCCAGAGACATGAAGCCGAGGGGGGTGCTGATTTCGACAAGTTATCCAGGCGCCTGGGTGCCCGTCTGCGGAAGTACGACAAGGAGGAGAGAGGGCGGGTCAAAAGAACACGGCAAACATTGGAACGTCAAGTGAGCGCACTGCAACAGAAAGTGATGGCTGACCCGAGTGATGATGAGTTACAGGCGGTGCTGACGAGCAGGGAGGCGATGCTGGAAAGGTACTGGGAGGGGCGAGGGGAGAAGAATTGGGGAAGAGGCGGCGAGTGGAGAGTGTGGAGCGGGAGGAGTGAGGCCGACGGGAGTGAGGCGAGGAGAGGCAGAGGCAGGGGGCGAGCTCCCGGCAGTAGGCAGACGGCTGCTGGCGGCTGTGGTAGTGGGCGAGGGAGGTGAGGCGGGTGATGGGGCATTGGGGCAGGCGGAGGGCAAAGGGGAACTGGGTCAGGCGGAAAGCAAGGGGGGTGAGGGGGGAAGCGAGGTGGAGGGGCAGAGTGAGGCAGAGAGAGCGGTGGGGAAGGAGGGGGGTGGGCTGGGTGATGGCCATGCAGGTGGTTCAGAGGGGTCAGATTTGGAGGAGGAGGGCGGGGCAGAGGAGACGGAGGAGGGGGGGGGAGAGGAGGAGGAGGAGGAGGGAGAGGGTATAGAGGGCAATGAGGCAGACGGTGGGTTGGAGGAAGGGGAGAGCAAGGCATGGCCGGAGGGCAGCACAGAAGGGGGTGGGTGGAGGGATGCGAGGGAGAGTGTGGAGGTAGCAGCAGCATTGGGGGAAGCAGGTGATGCAGGAAGCGATGATGATGTGCTGTTCGACATCCCTCCTGCCCCTGCTGCTGCCCCTCCTGCTGCTGCTGCTGCTGTCCCTGATGATGGTGCGGCGCAGCAGGGTGAGATGGGAGGGGCTGACGCGTGGGGAAGGAACGAGCACGTGGGAGAGCAGGTGAAGCAACGCACTCACTCACTCACTCACTCACTCACTCACTCACTCACTCACTCACTCACTCACTCACTCACTCACTGCACCACACCATGCCTCCTCTCCTCTGCTTTTCTTCAAATTCCCCCCCACTACTTCCCTCACATCACCCATAGCGCTGCCCCTTCCCTCCCTGCAGGTAAATTCCAAGCCCGCCCACCTGTGGCGGGTGGCGGTGTGTCTGGTGGGCGGCGCGCGCGACTTTGAGCTCACAGGCCCGTCCATCGTGCAGCGCCTGCTGCTGCCGCTGCTGCCGCACCGCCCCGTGCTCTTCCTGCACGCGCCTCTCGACCACGCCTCCTTCAAGCTCTGGCCGCTGCTCTGGGCCGCGCGGCGCGGCGTGGCGGTGGGGGCGGTGAGGGTGTTCCCCAGCACGTGGGTGAATGAGAGCGCCCTGCCGGAAAGGGTTGTGGAAGACCCCTCCTCGCCACACGGCACTCAGGTGGGAGGGAGGGAGGGAGGGGCTGTAGGAGGGTGCACAGTGCAGAGTGCGGCGTGGCGGTGGGGGCGGTGCGGGCGTTCCCCAGCACGTGGGTGAATGAGAGCGCCCTGCCGGAAAGGGTTGTGGAAGACCCCTCCTCGCCACACGGCACTCAGGTGGGAGGGAGGGAGGGAGGGGCTGTAGGAGGGTGCACAGTGCAGAGTGCGGCGTGGCGGTGGGGGCGGTGCGGGCGTTCCCCAGCACGTGGGTGAATGAGAGCGCCCTGCCGGAAAGGGTTGTGGAAGACCCCTCCTCGCCACACGGCACTCAGGTGGGAGGGAGGGAGGGAGGGGCTGTAGGAGGGTGCACAGTGCGCAGTGCGGCGTGGCGGTGGGGGCGGTGCGGGCGTTCCCCAGCACGTGGGTGAATGAGAGCGCCCTGCCGCCCGGCCTCGTGGAGGACCCGTCCTCGCCTCACGGCACACAGGTGGGCGGGGAGCGGAGTGCACTAATCGTCTGGCGGCATAGACTTGCATGCTCGCGGGCGTGCATGCAAGCAACATGCCGTGCAACCATCCTGCCCACCCACCATCTCACCCGCGCAACCCCTCCCACCCCGTGCACTGCACTGCACCGCCTCCCTTCCCCATGACGCCAGGGCATGCTGCAGTACTTCTGCCTGGTGGAGGGGTGCATCCCCCTCATCCACGCCTACGAGCGCCGCCACGCCATCACCTTCGACTGGCTGCTGCGCACACGGGTCGACACCTTCTGGCACCGCCCCCTGCCGCCCCTCGCCGCCTTCCCCCCCCACGCCTACACCATCCCCTTCGGCTCCGACTGCTTCGGCCTGAATGACCGCTTTGGCCTCGGCACGTGGCACACGGCCCTGCCTGCGCTCTCACGCCTCTCCATGCTGCCTGCCATTGCTGCGGGCGGCGCGTTTCGGCAGTTTTCCATGCAGGGCGTGGGCGGGCTGGGGCAGGAGGCGAGCAACTCGCATGCCATCCCCGTGGAGTAGGTGGCACCGGGGGGCAGGGCGGGTGGGTGGGTGGGTAGGTGGGTGGGTGGGTGGGTGGGTTGGGTGGGTAGGTAGGTAGGTAGGTAGGTGGGTAGGTGGGTAGCAACAGCAGTGTGGGTATAGGAATGGGGAGTGGTGCTGTGTGAACAACGCTGCTCCGTGTGCACCATTTTCCCTTAAACACAACAACACAACCTAAACCCCACCCTGTCCCTCCCCCTGCCCTGCCCCCCGCCATGCTCCCACCAGGGTACCAACAGGGCTGAACTCAGAGCAGGCGTTCAAGGCGCAGCTGGCGCTGGCGGGGGTGGCAGTGGCGCGCGCAGACCTGTCGTTCTGTGTGGTGAGCCGGCGAGTGTACCGCCACCACTCCATGCCCGTGCTCTCCCTCAACACCTCCACGCCCCTCAACGGTGCCAAGTGCCGCCCCTGCTACCCCAAGATCAAGGGTGCCGAGGTGAGGCCCTCTGCCACGAGCACATAGCAGGGGGCTCAGTGCGTGGGGCAAGCAGCCGCTCACATGCACATGCACATTCCTGGTGTGCTTCTTAAGGCACTACGCCATCTGCTCTCCCACACCTAACTCTGCATGACTGCATGACTGCACATCACTGCACATCGCTGCACGTGGCAGGCCAATCTGCGCATCCGCCAGTGGTACCTGGAGGGCTCGCGCTTCGGCCCGCACCGCTCGCCGTCGTTCGCCAACCGCACCGACTTTGCGCTGTGCGACGCCGCCAAGCCATGGCCCGCGCCCCACGTGGCGGCCGCCCTGTTTGACGCCGCTGCCGGGCCACGCCTGGCGAGGGAGCGCCACTCCATCATGCATGTCACCCTTCAGGGCTGCGCACGCAACTTCAGGAAGGTACGGGGAATGCGTGCGGTGACCGCACTCGCCTCGTGAAGTACCAGTCACTGCATGCGTTTCGTTGTCTGCATGCTCCTCTGTTCTATGTGGCGGCCCTGCCCACTGCCGCCTCTCATCCGCCTCTCTCTCTCCTCTCCCCATCCCCCATGGGTCGCCCCAGCTGCGGCGGCATGCGGAGGAGTGGCAGGCGCCAGCAGAGGCGGTGCTGTGCTTCCGGTCACAGCTGGGGGAGCTTCACCTGCTGGGCCCGCCTGGCCACTGCTTCTACACCGCGCTGCACAGGGTCAACCGCACCAGGTGCACGCTCCTGCATGCTGCACTCATGCACTCCCTGTACGCTGCATTCACGCACTCCCTATCACCGCGTGCTCTCCTCACAGTCGCCAGCGCCGACCACAGTGGTCTTTCTCTCCATCGGCCCGCTCCTGCCCCTCTGCGACTTGCCCTCACCCGTGCCTGTGCCTGCTCTTACCCCACATTGCCCGCCAGCCTGGTCATGACAACCACTCCAAGAGCTGCCCATGCAAAGGGCTCGTGGGAGTGGAGCATGCGGCGCCACGCACATGGCCTGCAGGTCACCGCGCTCTCTGCTGGCCCCACACATGCCTCCTCCATCGCCCACACACTCAAGGTGCCCACCGCTGCTGCCCTGCTTTCCATGCTCTTCCTGGCTGTCCCGTGACATCCCTTGCTCCTGTGGCCCATGTGTGCCGTGCACTCATCACAGCTCGTCATCTATCATGTACTCACATGCATGTGCCTGTACGTCCACTGGTGCCCTCAACCTCCCTCTTTCCCTCTCACTCTTCAAATGCATCCCCACTCCTTCACTTACTCCCCTACCTTCCACACTCTCATTGCCTTTGTCCTACTCCCATCGTTCCCTTTGCGTCTTCATCCCACTCCATCCCACATCCGCACGCCACCCACTGCTACCTGCAGCTCTCACTCACAGGCGCCGACCTACCACTCATCTTCGACTGGCAGAAGCAAAACGCCTCACTGCCCACGTGCCAGCTGCTGCTTGCCTTCCCAGATGCAGTGCCCCCACTGGACCGCAACGCCACCATCACGGCCCTGCACCACCTGGGCTTCCACCTCATGGCTTGCATTCAAGAACCGCGTGTTACGGTACAGAGGTGCTCATTCTTCTCCGTGAAATACTGCTCGCAGCTCTTAGGTGTTGGGCCAAAGGCACGGGTTGTAAGACAATGAAAAGCAACACCAAAAACCATTTCAAATCGAGGTGCCAAGCGAAGTCCTATGCAGGAGAATCTCATAAACCCACCTCAGAATTGCTGGAAATAGTTGAGATTTATTTAAGTTTCACCACCAATTTGAGGTACGGTAATCTTAAAACTTCTAACTCTGAACTCGTCCTCTTATCTGAACTCTCAGTCGTGCTGTGCACTGACTGAACTTGCCCACGCAGCATTGCTAGGAATGACCATGAGTCATTTGAATATGCCACACATGGGTGCACTGAAATCATCCCAAATTTGTGAAACCACCCCTTATTTCCTTGCCAAGGCTCCACCCAGTAGGTGGGCGGGTGGGCGTACGGCTAACTTCTGCTTCCACTGACTACCCCATATTTCAAGAATGTGCTTTGGACTGAAGTGGAGTTATGAATGATCACGGATCAACAAGAGGCCCCTCTCCTCGTCCACTTCTACTTCTCTCCCAACCGAGCAACCACCAACTCTCTTCCCCATGGGCCAGCCACCTTCGCTACTGCCATCGCCACTGCTGCTGCCAGCAACACTCACATCATCGCTGTTCCTATGGGAGCAGAACGAGTCATGCTGTTTTGGTGGTGGTGAGCGTGGGGACAGAGCAAGCGGCAAGGAGCCGTGTTTGTTGGGCGGTGGCGATGCAAGCATGAAGAAGAAGGCAGCTGAGTACATGCACACGTGCCACACGCTGCAGTGGAGTGGAGCAGGGAGGGGGGAGGGAGAGAGAGTGAGCCCGTCACCAATGGGTTAGGGAGGGGAGGGAGGATAGAGAAGGCGGCTGAGTACATGCACACGTCCGACACGCTGCAGTGGAGTGGAGCAGGGAGATATTAGAGTGAGAAAGTCACCGATGGGTTGAGTGAAAGGGGAGGGAGGGTAGGGAAGAGAGCGGAAAAACGTGGGTTGGAAAATGGAGAAGGGCTGGGCTGTTGTAGGCACGGTGGACAGATGGAGTTCAAAGCAGTAGCGACTGCTTTTAGTCTACGGAGGATTGGATGAAGAATGTAAGAAGAAAGTGAAGTGTTTTCCCAACCTCTTCTTCCTCGCCCCCTCTTCTGCCGCTGTCGATGTACTTCGCACGAGTGCATGCTCACCCACACGCACACACACACATGCACACAGATACACATGCACGCACGCATGCACACACGCATGCACGTCCACATCCCATCCACCTGCCCACGTCCACACACACCCGCCACACATGCTCCATGCTCCCCCATCTCCGTCCCATTCCCCCACTCCACCTCCCACTCCCCTTTCCCCCTCCCACCTGTGCCAGATCCAGTACGTGGCGGCCACCTCCACGAGGAAGCTGCTGCCCCTCCATTCTTACCCCCCCCATTCCCAGCCCCTTTCCCCCTCCCCTCCCCCCCCCCACACCTCTCCCCCCCACCTGTGCCAGATCCAGTAGGTGCTTGGCACCTCCACAAGGAAGCTGCTGCCGCCCAGCAGCGCCGCCAGTGCGCCGCCCAGCAGCGACGGCACGTGGAACGTGGCGAGCAGGGCCAACACCATGCGCAGCACCACTGCCCCCTGCGCACGGCACCTGGTGGGGGCGGGAGTAGGTGGAGTGGACGAGACGTGTGCGGGAGAAGCACTTGGTTGAGGCATGATTGGAGTGCGATGAAGAGGAGAGAAAAGGGAGAAATAAATGCATGTGGGCGAGGGACGGGCAGCAGATGTGGTGGAAGCACGTGAGGCAGCGAAAGGGACTTCAATTGAAGCGTTGTGCCACTGGTCTCATGCCACCGCCCACTGCAGTCAATGCCATGCAGTCAATGCCATGCAGCCAATGCCATGCAGCCAATGCCATGCAGTCAATGCCATGCAGTCAATGCCATGCAGCCAATGCCATGCAGTCAATGCTATGCAGCCAATGCCATGCAGCCAATGCCATGCAGCCAATGCCATGCAGCCAATGCCATGCAGCCAATGCCATGCAGCCAATGCCATGCAGTCAATGCCATGCCGTCAATGCTATGCCATCACTACCACACACACACCAGTGGAACATTCTTCTCCACACTGATGCGTGCTGCTGCGCTTTACTTGCCCTCGCGGCCCCACATGGCCACTCCCCGTCACTGCTGCAAGGGGGCGGCAGCAGAGAGGCGCCCTCCTCTTCCACGTGCCCGTGCCGGGAGCCCCCTTGCTCTTCCACGCACTGCACAGCGCAGCTTGCCGCCTCGAGAGGGGTGTGGGGGGCATGAGGGGCGGCGGAGGAGGAGGCGGCGGCGGAGCGGCGAAGAGCAGCGAGGCGAATGAACCAGCCGGTGACGAGGGCCGCTGCTCCCAGCGCCAGCAGCACCACGATGCTCCACCCACTGCCCAAGATGGTTTGGGGGGGGCACACACGGGCAAGATGAATTCGGGCGACGAAGAAGGCAAGGCAGGCAGTACAGGGAGGAGGGCCGGCTGTTGAGGGAGGAAGGAAATGATGAGACAATCAGCAGAGCTACGTTGCTGCGTGGCGTGCTGTCGTCCCTTGGCAGGCAAGCAAGTGAGAGCGAGGGCACAGGGCCGGCAAGGTGGAAGGCGTTGGAGGAGCGTGAGGGCGTGAGGCACCCCTTGTGGGGCGTGAGGCACCCCTTGTGGGGCGTGAGGCACCCCTTGTGGGGCGTGAGGCACCCCTTGTGGGGCGTGAGGCACCCCTTGTGGGGCGTGAGGCACCCCTTGTGGGGCGTGACATGAGATCAGACCAGAGCCTCACCGCCCCGCACCGCACCTCCCCGCCCTCACCACCCGCACGCCTCACGCTGTGGCTTGACCCTCTTACCTTTGGCTTGACCCTCTTACCTTTGGCTTGACCCTCTTACCTTTGGCTTGACCCTCTTACCTTTGGCTTGACCCTCTTACCTTTGGCTTGACCCTCTTACCTTTGGCTTGACCCTCTTACCTTTGGCTTGACCCTCTTACCTTTGGCTTGACCCTCTTACCTTTGGCTTGCCCGCTGGCTCACCTGGTGGCTTACCAGGTGGGTTGCCCGTGTGAGCCCTCTAAGCCCACCTGGTGGCTCACCTGGTGGCGCGGTCGACAGCCATGACGGCGGTGGAGAAGGAGGCAACGACGAAGAAGAGGAAGCGCGGCCAGATGGGCACTTGTGCCGCGTGCAGGAAGGCGAGCAGCACGGCGAGGAAGCAGGAGTAGAAGTCGGCGAACTGCAGCGTGGGGTAGCGTGCTGCGCACCACCCGTCGGTGTCGCACAGGTGGTAGAGGGCGCTGCACAGCCCGTTGAGCGAGAACATCACCCACTCCGGGTACGCCTGGTTGAGAGTCAGTCAGTGGATGGGTGGGCGTGGGAGGGAAATGCGGGAGTGTGGTGAGGGGGAGCGGATGAATGGGATGCAGTGGTGAGTGTGGGTGTGAGGAGGGACGGAGCGATGCAGAGTGGTGAGAGCAAGCATGAGCTGAGACCACCATGTGTTACCCCCAGACACAGCGACACCATGCATTACCCCCTTGCCTTACCCCAAGGTAAAGCGAGACCATGGCTGGCAGCACGGCCACCACGTTGCTGCCCACCAGCGCCCACCGCTGCTGCTCTATGCCTGCCACCCACACGGGCAGTGGGGCATGGCCATCGGATGGTGGGCGGATGGAAGAGGGCGATAGAAAAGAAGGGAGGTCATTGAAGGTAGAAACGAAGCACAGCTGCAGTTTTAGACAGGTCCAATCTCGGCTTGCACCACTCATAAGCGACAAACGGATAAGTGGGAGAGACGAGAGGTGACGGGGAAGAAGGGAGAGGAGTGAGAGGAGAGAGGCAGCATGTGAGCATAAAGCAGATGGCGGTGGCGTGTGGTTCACATCGCGCTGTGCTGGCGCTCCACACGGCAGCCTAGACCCAACGGCAGCAGCACGCACCTAGCTGTGAGACTGTCTCAATGGAACAGTCCACGCCCCCGTTGGATCGATCGCAGAAGCAGTAGCTGTGGTGGGGGAGAGAGGTTGATGAGAGTTGCAAGAGGGACGAGGCACGAGTGAGTGCAGTGGTGAAATCAGGCAAAGTGAGTGAGATGAATGATGCCGGTGGACCTGTGAGTGCACTCATGCTTGAGAGCGGAAGTCTGGTGAGTAACGCTCGCAGTGAGAGAGCGGAGGAGACGGGGGAAAAGGGAAACAGGAAAGCGGGAGACAGGTAGCGCGGAAGAGAGGGGGAAGAGAGCAGGGCATACTAGACGCCGAATTGGAAGGCACCGTCCGCCATGACGTGGCAGGGGCTGCCCGAGCAGCCGTTGGGGCACCCGTGCTGCACCACCCGCACCTCCCACTCCCACTCCCACTCCCACTCCCCCTCCCCCGCCTCCGCCCCTTCCCCCTCCTCCTCTCCCCCCTCGCCTCCCCCCCTTGACGGAGCAGCGTCCAGCCCCACGGCCACGAAGGTGGTGACCTCCGCAGGGTGGATGAGCTCCAGCGATAGCTGCCCGCCCCTGGCTGCTGCCGGGGAAGGGGGAGGGAGCAGGGGTGGGCGGGGAGAGGGACAAGGGACGAGGGATGAGGGAAGGTGAGGGCAATGACGTGCAGCCCACCATTGGAAGGGGGTGAGCGGGGTGGAGAGGGATGAGAGTGGAAGGGGGACCGAGGGGACGGGGAGGAGTGGAGAGAGAGGAGGATAGGAAATGGAATGGTCCGGGGATGAGGAGAGGAACACCAGGTGGGAGGAGCACCCTCCCTCCCACCCACCCACCCAACCACACCCACCCAACCACACCCACCTCCCCACCCCAACAACCCCCACCCACCCACTCACCCATATCTGTGGCCGGTGCGACAGCGGAGGCATCAAAGCGTGTGAGGGACGGCAGGCCACCGGCACGCACGAGCAGATACACAAACGCCCGCGGGGCAGCACCTGATGACCCCGCTGCCACCCCCGCCGCACTGCTGTTGCCGCTGTTGTTGCCACTGCCACCACTCTCCCCCTCTCCCCCTTGCCCCTCCCCATCCCCCTGCGCCCCATCCCCGCGCCGGAGGGGCAGGAGGCGCAGGTGGATGGAGAGTACGCCCCCGCGCGCACCAAAGGGCGGGGCGAGGGAGAGGAAGGCCCACGAGGGGCGCGCCGGGGAGGGCGAGGCGGCGAGGGGCACGGGGAACCACGAGGCCCACAGGGAGGGCGGGGCGGGCGAGGCGGGGGGCAGGTAAGCTGCATCAAGCCCCGACTCGTATGTCCATGAGAGCAGGTGCGGCTGGGGGGATGGGGGGGGAGGACACGGGCGTGAGGAAGGTGGGGAAGCGTTGATGGATAGGGAGGGCGGATAGAGGCAGCGGCAGGTAGGCTGCATCGAGAGCAGGTGCGGCTCGAGGGATGGGGCACGGTCGTGTGGAAAGGGTGATGGGGGGAGGGGGGGGGAGGGTGGGGGAAGGGGGCAAGAAGCGCTTTGAGGGGGTAGTGGAGGGCGGAGGACAGGACGGGACGAAAACGGCGGCGGAAGGGAAGAGGGCGGTGCGAGACGGGGTATAAATGATAAGAATGGTGGATGTGCAAGTGGTGGTGAATGTGAGACGCATGCAAAGCGACTCATCCACCTCCCTTTTGCACCTCCCCTCTTCCACCGCTTCATCTCCCCTGCCTCTTACCCCACCTTCCCTCTTCTCCCCTCACCTCTTTCCCCACCTCTCGCCCCACCTCTCGCTGCCACCTCTTCCCCCCGTTTTACCCCCCCCCCACCGCCACCCACCCCTCTCGCCTCACCTCGAGAGGGATGAGCGGCCACTGGCACTGAGGCCCAGTGAGGCGAGGGAAACACGTGGCAGCCTTCCATTGGATGCTCACGCACACCTCTCCGCCCCCTTCCCCCTCATCCGCAGCGCCCCCCTGCTGCCCGTGCGTCCACGACCCCCCCCACAGCGACGCCAACCACCCACCATCCCCCCCCTCTCTACCACCACTGCTACCACTGCCAACACTGCCAACACTGGTACTACCGTTGACACCAATGCTGCTGCTGTTGCTAACCGTGCTGCCATTACCGGGCCCACTCCGCGCAGCGCTGCTGGCAGGGTGCGAGAGCAGCAGGTGCCAGGAGCCAGGGTCAGCCACGCTCTGCCAGCTGCCAATGTCCATTCGCCCCTCGCTCCACCACACGTCCACCCCCGCCCCCCCCTCCGCTCCCCCCCTCCCCTCCTGTTCTCTACTGCCCCTAACACCGCTGTTGCTGCTGCCTGCTTGCTCCTCGGTCTCTGAAGGCAGCTGCACGGAAAAGGAGGGTCCAGCTGGCGCGCCGCGATTGGACGGGCCAAGGAGAGCCATGCGGCGCAGCTGCACGGAGAGAGAGGAGTTGGCGGAGCGGGCGTGACCCGTGAGCCACGACGGGAGGGGGGAGGTTGAGGAGGCAGAGGAGGAGGAGGGTGGTTCGGGGTAGATGGAGATGAGGAGCTTGGGCAGGGGCTGGGGGATGGCGAGGGTGAAGAGGAGCGGGGCGGACGAGGCGCGCAGGCACTGGTGAGTGAGAGAGCCCCCGTACAGGGCGTCCATGCCCGGTGCTGTGAATGCATCGTGATGTGGGGAAGTGGGGTCGGAGGGGGAGGAAGGTTGGGAAGGGGGGGAAGGGGGGGAGGGGGAGGGAGAGGAGGAGGGGGATGGGGATGGGGATGGGGATGGGGCGGGGGGGGGAGGAGGAGGGGTCGTTTCCAGACGAGGCATTGGCTTCTTGCGGCGGCACAGGAGGGCGAGGAGGAAGAAACGTGTGGGAGGAGAGCGGGTGGAGGGGCAGCGGGGTGCGCGAGTCGTTGCAGAAGCGGCCGGAGAGGAGGGGCGCGTTGAAGCAGGAGAAGGCGGTGAGGGCGAGATCGAAGGTGTGCGCCGTGCCCCGCAGCACCATCTTGGACTGCGTGCGCGCTGGGCCCCACTCGCTGAACACCCCCACGTTCCACACGCCCGCCACTGGTTGCTGCGAGCACGTGGGATGAGAGGGGTGAGGGGGTTGGGGGGGTTTGAGAGGTGGGGGGAGGGGGTGAGAAGTCAATGGGAGGGATGGCCCCCCGCAGCACCATCTTGGACTGTGTGCGCGCCGGCCCCCACTCGCTGAACACCCCCACGTTCCACACGCCTGCTACCGGTTGCTGCGGGCATGTGGGACGCGAGGGGTGAGGGAGATGGAGATGGGAGAGATGGGAGGGATGGGCGGAGAGCGGGATGAGAGTAATACTGGGTTGGGAGGGATGGTGAAGGTTGAGGAGGTGGAGGTGGGTTGCGAAAGGAAGGGTGGTGCACAGAAGGCACACAACACAGACCGACCAAGGCACATGAGAGGGCACATGAGAGGGCACAACATAGCTCGCATGCATCCAAACACCATTCCCAACGCCCTGCCGCCTGCCAGCCTGCCCTCGCCTCACGGGCTCACCTGGTCGGCTGGGAGGCTGAATACAGCGGTGGAGTGGAACAAGGCGCAGTGCGACTGCCCCGCCCCTCCCCCACTCCTACCCCCCAACCCCGACCCTCCTCCCCCCTCTGTGCCATTCCCCTTACCACCGCCGCCCCCCCACCCTTCCCCCACCATAGCCGCGATTGCAGCTGCAGCAGATGCGTCTACCATCCCCCCTCCCCCACCCTTCCCCGCCCCTGCGCCTCTCCCTGCCCCCGGGTCATCCCCCTGCCCCTGCCCGCGCTCCACTGTGACTGCGCCCATGGCCCTCCCAAAGGGGGAAAGCGACCCCCCCGCCGCCTTGGCTGCTGCCTCCAGCGACTCGTCTGCAGCAAAAGGGGAGGGGGGGAGGGGGGAGGGGGAGATGTGGGGGTGGGGAGGCGGAGCATAGGGTTGGGGAGAAAGTGGGAGGGATTAAGCAGACGCAGCCTGGCATTAAGAATGACAAGTGAGTGCACAAGTGAGAGACGGGGCAGACGGGGCATCCAGAAGGTGACAAAGGTTTTTGTGAGGATGACACAAGGGGATTGGGGAAAGGGGGATGGAGAACGGGATGGCAGATGGAGAATCGTTTTGCGAAAGCGTGTGAGAGGGAGGAACGAGGGGATGGCGCCGGGGGGGAAGGGACAGAGAGGGATGCAGCGGAGGGGGCAATGTGTGCCGGCTGGTTGATCCAGAGAGCGTGTGGTCGCGTGAGGGGAGTGCAGCGGCAGCTGTAGCGAGAGGAATCTGTAGCAGCTAGCGAGCGGCAGGCGGCGGGCGGCAGGCGGCAGGGGGCAGGTGTGCGGAGGGGCAGAGGGCAGGTGTGCGGAGGGGCAGAGGGCAGGTGTGCGGAGGGGCAGAGGGGAGGTGTGCGGAGGGGCAGAGGGGAGGTGTGCGGAGGGGCAGAGGGGAGGTGTGCGGAGGGGCAGAGGGGAGGTGTGCGGAGGGGCAGAGGGGAGGTGTGCGGAGGGGCAGGCAGCACGCACATTGTGGCTCGTGGTCCGACGGCAGCGGCAGAGAGCCCAGCGCGAAGCACACCAGGGGACCACCCGATGCCGCTGCCGCTGCTCCTGCCTCCGCGCTGCTGCTGCTGCCTGCTTGCTGTGACTCCCCCGCTGCGTCCGTGCTGCTTGCTGCGCCTGCAGGCGCCTCGTCCTGGTGGATGGCCATGGTGGGCCGGAGGGGCGGGGAAGGGGAGGAGATGAGGGGAGGAGGGGAGAGGGGTGTATAGAACCGAGAGGGGGTCAAGGAGGTGGTGCGAGAGAGAGTGTTGGCGAAGGGAAACGAGTCAGTGAAGCGGAGTTGGAGCATCAGGGGAAGGCTGCCCCCAGCTTACCCTCTGCGCGGAACACAGCTTACCGCTTGTGAGGCCCACAGCTTGCGGAACTCGAACCTCACGATCAGCGCGCTCTCTGGCACCTCCGCTGCACCCCGCATAGCGCAAGGCGGTTGTGTGTTTGGAGGAGAGGGAGGGGGAGGGGGAGGGGGAGAGAGGGGAGCGAACGGGAGGGGGAAATGGGGAGGGGGGAAAGAGAGGCCTTGGGATGTGGGCAGAGGGACGATGGGATGGGTCACCAGCGGCAGCACAGAGCATCCATCCAGGTCAGCAGCCCATCCGTAACAATGGATGCGCAGAGTCGAATCCCTGTTGTAATATCGTAAGTACAGTCAGTCGTAGCGGCGTACCAGGGAAGTACGTCCACTCGTAGGGGCCGACGACGCTGTTGGGGTACGACGCTGTCGCCGACTTCATGAGATTCGGGTACTCGCTCTGAATCGCAGACCGTCGCGCGTCGTCGTTAAGAGCCGCGCGGCGACGAGGGGTGCGCCATAGGTCGGACGACGACGGCGAATGTGGGGGAGAGGAGGGGTGCGGGAGGGAAGGGGATGCGAAGGAAAGGAGGAGCGGGAGGAGGAAGAGGCAGACGTGGCGGGGTGGGGACGCCATGGATAGACGAGCTGAGGCGAACTGGTGGAAGCTAAGATTCGAGTGCAGCGACAAGAGCTAGTCAGTCCACGTGAATTTAGGACGAATAGGCTGCTCGCTTGAATGGCTGCTTGATCGAGGGTGCGTCATATTCTTAGCTGAAATTTCGGAATTTGAGTTAGAAGGAGCGCAACTGGATGTACACGAAAGTTCATGTAAAGCGAATTGTCTGTAGTATCGGAACTAGTGCAAGCAAAGCTTGCGAGACTACAGACTAAATTCCGCGCTCTAGTCTCTGCTGGTCGTTTGAAAGACTTCGACCAACCCGTTCTCAGTGGGAGGCAAGTAGAAGGGAGATGCATTGTGAAGGAATTAGCCCTTCGGGCAGATTTTCTTTTCAATTCACATACTCATCACATGTATGCGGGGGTTGGTTTGGATCCCTTCTTGAGCTGAAGGTTATAGGGGAAACCTCCCTTGGTATTCCCCGGCTGTCGATCGTAATCCGCGTACCCACTTGTTTACACGCCTCGCTGGGTATCGAGGTAGGACTATCCACTCCCAGATGGATGCCTTGTTGAGGGCCATGCTGAGACTTTCGAGCAGTATCTGTAACTAGTATGTTGGCTGTTATGTGCTGACCGAAAGTACGGGTAAGAATACTGTAAAATCATTCAACAAATACTTCACCGCGTCGCGTCTCCCTTGGAAACTCCATGCCACACTGCGCACCGAATTCCCCAACCACGGCGACAGGTACGGCAAAGCAGGTTGCTGAACCCTCATGTAGTCACATCTCGCTAAAGTATATTTAGAGACGGCTTGGTAGTTTGTATGAACATCTCCTAAAAAATATGACGTCTGCTAGCACCACAAACGCCTTCGCTCCGTGTAGCGTACAGAATGAAGTGGGTATATTCTCCCGTCACCAAGCCGCAGGTGCGTTGTGTCACCTGAACCGCACCGCTTTGTTGACGGAACACAAGGTTGAAACAGTTACGACCGTCAACACCTGGACGCGCAGCGGCCACGTCTGCTCCCCAACTACTCTCAGCCTACGCTTCTTCCTCCAATCGGCAGCAGCCCACGCGACAACATCTTGTGGTGTAGTTCCAGGTGCCGGTGGCCACCTGGACTCCGATGACATCAGCTCAGCATAGCCCCGCTCAACCCGTGGCCAGCGGGGTTACAATGATCGCACGTGGCAACGGAACGGTCAGCGATGTTGGTACTTCGCTTGCATGCAACCAGCAGTGCAACAGCAAACGTTCATCCGCGTTTGAAGCTTCTTTCCCGTCAAGCGAAGCGTAGCCTCAGAGGCGACCGTTAGTTGGTTGGTGGGATCAAGTAGTAGTTAGTTGCTCCGATTACTACTTATCCACCTCACAACCTCACACTCCTCTCAAATTCGTCCCTTCAAATATTCACAAATTTTAGACCAGTCGCAGTTTCCTTCTGCTCTTCCACGCCGTAGTTTCCTCTGTTGCTCCTTTTCTTCCCCGGAACTGCGATTGTATCGACGCGCACCAAATTTATCGGCCACCAGACAGCAGCACGCCAGCATGAAGGCTCTCATTCTCGTCGGCGGTTTCGGCACGCGGCTGCGGCCGCTCACCCTGAGCGTGCCCAAGCCGCTCGTCGACTTCGCGAACAAGCCCATGATCCTCCACCAGATCGAGGCGCTCAAGGCAGCGGGGGTGGACGAGGTCGTTCTCGCCATCAACTACCAACCCGAGGTACACCGCCGCTCCCTCGCCGCTCCCTCGCTGATCCTTCATGAACCCGCTCAATTAATCAGATCACAAGTGAAAATAACGAAAGTCAACCAGATCCCGTTCGTGCCTTCTAATATCATCATCCCACTCAATATCCAACGTGCATCCTCCCGCCCCTCCTCCGCGCGATGCGATGCGCACATGACGTGGCAGGTGATGATGACGTTCATCAAGGAGTACGAGGCGAAGGTGGGCATCCGCATCGTGTGCTCGCAGGAGACGGAGCCCATGGGCACGGCGGGCCCGCTCGCGCTCGCCAGACACATCCTCGACGACGGCTCGGGCGACCCCTTCTTCGTGCTCAACAGTGACGTCATCAGCGAGTACCCGCTGACGCAGATGCTCGACTTCCACAAGAAGCACGGCGGCGAGTGCACCATCATGGTCACCAAGGTTTGTCGCTGCGCGCTGCATGCAGGTCGTTAGAATCTATGCTGCGATGCCTGCGAACGAACCAGTCGCGTCTCACGAGTCTCCAGCGAATCGCCCTAATTTCATCTTTAAAAAATCAGACGAGGGCGTTAGCGTCTCTGCCAGATCCCAGCACAACAATCTTTCCTTAACCCTTCTCGCCCTGTTTGCCGCTGCTGCATCATAACCTCACCTTCAATTTTCCCTTCCTGCCATCTCCTTTTCCTCCCACTCTCCACCCCAATTCCTTTCCCATCCTCACCATTCCCCCACGCAGGTGGAGGAGCCATCGAAGTACGGAGTGGTGGTGGTGGACGAGGCAACATCATGCGTGCAGCGGTTCGTGGAGAAGCCCAAGGTGTTCGTGGGGAACAAGATCAACGCCGGCATCTACCTGCTGGACGCGCGCGTGCTCAACCGTATCGAGCTGCGCCCCACGTCGATCGAGAAGGAGGTGTTCCCCAAGATCGCGGCGGAGAGCAAGCTGTTCGCCATGGTGCTGCCGGGCTTCTGGATGGACGTCGGCCAGCCGCGCGACTACAACAGCGGGCTGCGCCTCTACCTCGAGTCGCTGCGCCACAACCAGTGAGTGCCCTGCATGGCACCCCGGGGGGTGTGTATGGCGGGTGGTGTTGCAGGTTGCGCAAGGTGCGTAAGCGGGTTGAATTTGAGCACTTGCGCTGTTGGCAGGGTACTGACCGACTGACACAGCACACCGTTCGGTCAAATGTCCCTTGAGCCACAGCCCCTTGCCCCTTACCCCTTTGACGCACTGCATGTCACCACGTGCCAGCCTGACACTCGCGGGCCAAGTTAGACCTGATGCCGCGGATCAGTGAGCAACAACCCTAGGCAGTGCAGTGCGGTCAGCTGTGGCCCATGAGAGCAGCGCATAGCAGCACGGTGCTCTCGCGTGGTGTATATACGGCATGGCGCACACAGAACGCTGTCCGGCAGGCCTGCGTCCACTCTCACCCTGTCGCATGCACCTCGCAGTTGCTTCTCCCTTACTCTCGCATGTCCTCTCCCGATCTCTGCTGCCCCCCCTCCCTCCCTCCCTCCCTCCCTCTATATCTCACTTCCTCCCCGCTTCTCGGCCTCCTCAGCTAGCCACGCGGAGGCATATATTGCGTAACATGCTGCTGGACGCCCCTCGCAGCCACCTTGCACTTGCTTGTCGCTTCTCCCCCTGACACTGCCTCCCCCATTCGTCCTTTCTTTCCGCCCGTGCCATGGTGTGCCACTCGCAGTCCGGAGCGGCTAGCAGAGGGCAAGCACATAGTGGGCAACGTGCTGGTGGACCCCAGCGCCACCATCGGCGACGGGTGTCTGATCGGCCCCGACGTGTCCATCGGCCCCGGCTGTGTGATCGCTGACGGCGTGCGGCTGGCGCGCTGCACCATCATGCGCGGTGTGCGCATCAGCAAGCACGCCTGCGTCACCGGCAGCATCGTCGGGTGAGCTCCCGCTGGGTGGTGTTTTGAGTGGCCGTGCTGCAGGGTACTGCTGAATCTTGCGCTGGGGGAGTGGTGGGTTGGTGTTGGGGATGTTGGGTGAACGGGGCAATTGCGCGTACTGGCATGGGTGTATGATGGTGTGGATGCATGCACTCATGAAGCTAAGCACATCATGCAGGGAGCGCAACAGAAAAGTGGTGTGACCGCGATCACTGAAGCAGCCGGTAGCACACTTGCACAGTGCCACACCATGAGCGCCACCACTCCGCACTGTCACTCATCCCCATACCACACACACCCATGCTGCCTGCACGCACTCCCATCATGCACATTGCTCACTCTCAATCTCAACCCCTTGCATCCCGTGCAACCCGTGCAGGTGGCATTCAACGGTGGGGCAGTGGGCACGGCTGGAGAACATGACAGTGCTGGGGGAGGACGTGCACATTCAGGACGAGGTGTATGCCAACGGGGGCGTGGTGCTGCCGCACAAGGAGATCAAGGCCAACATTCTCAAGCCTGAGATCATCATGTAGATAAACCCTAGTGTATTTACGGAGTGCAAGCTCCAGTGTAGGCTTTAGAGCAGTGCACCACTTAGTACCATGCCTTTTTTCTTTCTTTAGACAGACGCCCACTAATTTGATATCGGGTGCACTTTTGTTTCAAATACCCGTACTACAAAATTCCTCAGAAGTTATTGTCTGGAACAATGCTGCTCGTGCTATACCATAGGGTCCAGCATTGAACAACAAGCATTAAACATCTCCTCCCAACCTTCCCTACTCATTTGTGCTGGAAACAATTGATTTAGCGCCTCTGTCGTGTCAAAACACCAAGTCAGAAGCGAAGCGAAGCATATCGAAGCACTGGCGAGTCAACCCTCGGAGGTGTTGGGCTGAGAAATAGCCCTTAGGATCTTTGCAGGGGTGAACTCTGGGTAGAACTGATGTAATAGCGGAAGCTTTAATGAAATAGTTGAACCACCTTGCGCTAGTATGTGAGGGCAAAGTTGATTAATTAAAACAGAGAGATACAAGATCATATATAAGAGTACAAGGAATATGAAGGGGTACAGTTATAACTGTTTTACTGTTGCTGTTGCGGTTCCATACAGTGACGACTCGGGCAACTGCTCTGTAGCAAGTCAGTTGTGTGTCCTTGCTGTCGCGCTGTACTCTGTCACGTCAAAGGTCGCTGACCTTTGGCTTTCGCGTAACCTCCAACAGTTGCTTTCAACCTCCGAGGGTTGACTCGCCGGTGCTTCGATATGCTTCGCTTCGTTTGTGCCTTAGTGTTTCGACACGACAGAGGCGCTTAAGATCGATTGTTTCCAACACTCCCCTTCGCTTCTGGAGTGTCGCTACTGGTGACGTGGCTCTGTCCAGTCAGCAGCATGCAGTACTCGAACTTCTGCTTTCCGAGCTTCTTGGTCAAGTAGTCAGCTGCCATCTCGGACGTGGGGCAGTATGACAGCTCGAGCCTTCCTTTCTCGATCTCGTCCTTCACGAAGAAATATCGCAGGGCGATGTGTTTCGTCCTGTTCGCGAAGCCGTTCTTGTTGGCGATGCGAATTGCCGACTGGTTGTCGCAGAACAGAGTGAAGCTGGGTAACTGAGCCAGCTTCGCTTCTTCCAGTAGTTCGCGAAGGTAAAGTCCTTCCTTGGTGGCTGAACAAAGTGCAATATATTCTGCTTCAGCTGACGAGAGGGCGATTAATTCCTGCTTGCTCGACTGCCATGAGATAGGTCCGATAGGTTCGAGGCGGTAGATGTAACCGGTGCGGGAGCGCCTGTTGTCGGAGTCGCCAGCGTGATCGGCGTCGACGTAGCCGATTAACTTAGGCGGTGTAGTTGCGTTCTTGTAGTAAGTTAGGCCGATCGTCGGGGTGCTGACGAGGTAGTGAAGAGCGCGGTCGAGTTCTGCTAGATGTTCCGCTTCAGGCTTCTTGAGGTAGGTGGCGAGCTGACTTGCACAGTACGATAGGTCCGGGCGGCAGGTGACGGCTGCGAAAAGGAGGCAACCCAGTTTCCTTTGGTAGTCGCGTATGCCGGCGGGCTTAAGTAGAGCGGAGCTTCCCTTGCTGCTTCCTGTCGTGTAGCGGTACGGTGTGGAAATGGCGGTCGGTGTGAGTGCGAAGCGCTTGGCGATGGTGTCTGCGTATTTCGCGGCACTGAGGTGGATCACGTCTTCTTCTTCTCGGATGTTGAGACCGAGGTACCGTGTGACGGTAGATGAGACCGTGAGCGTGAGGTCCTTCTGTAGCTCCCCTTCGAACCAGGTTGTGATGCCGTCGGTCGAGCCGATGTAGAGTAGATCGTCTACGTAGACGATTAACAGGATGTAGTCGGTGTTCTTCGTGAGCCGGTACATGCCCTGATCATGCGGTAGTTGTTTGAAGCTGATGCGAATGAGGCGAGCGTGCAGGTATTGTTGCCATAGCCGCGGAGCTTGCTTGATGCCGTAGAGCGACTTCAGTAGCTGACAAACTTGATTGGGCTCACCGTTGGAGCCGTGCGGTAATTCGACGAAGATTTCTGCGTCAACAGGTGCGTAGAGGAATGCGTTTGCGACGTCGATTTGCCGCAGCTTCTTCTTCTTCATGGCGGCGATCGCGAGGAGGATTCGGAGCGAAGTGTGTCGACTGACCGGAGCGAAAGTTTCGGTGAAGTCGCGTCCGTGTTCTTGGTCGAAGCCGCGTACGACCCAGCGAGCTTTAAACTTGTCGATGGTGCCGTCAGCCTTTGTCTTCACACGGAAGACCCACTTCCCGGTGAGTACTGTTTTGTTCCGTGCTATGTTGATATGGACGACCTTCCAAGTGTTGCGTTCCTCCAGTGCCTTTAGCTCCCTGTCCATGGCTTCGCGCCATTTTTCCTTATGCTTCCCCCCCAGAGCCTGTTGAACTGTCGCAGGCTCTTTAGGAATGGTTGCGCCGTGAACTTCGGTGACGAGACCAAGGATTTGGAGTCCACTCTGTGTGTAGCGGGGGAGTGAAGTGTCCTCGGGATAGACTGCTTCGTCTCCCGCTTCTGGATCAGGTGCGAAATTAGGTCCTTCGCGTTCTGCTTCGTCGGTGTTGACTTGTGCAGGTGTAACGTAACCGTTGTCAGCGAAATGGTAATAGGCTTCGGCGTTGATGCTTTCGCGTGGGTTTTCGTCGTCCATTGGCACGTCGACGGAGTAGTAGGGGAGGGGTCCGGCTTCTTCCGAGGCTCCTTCCACGTTCTGCTCGTCCCAGTCAGCTTCGTCGTCTGCCGAGGCGAAGGCTCGGGTGCCTTGAAAACCAGCGGAGCGATCGGGGTTTTCTTCTTGCAAGTTGGCAAGGTAATCCTGGAGGGTGAGGTTTTCGTAGAAAATGACGTCACGTGCTGCCACTGTCTCTTTTGTCTCGACGTCGAAAATTTTCCATGCGTTGTAATGCTTTTCGATGCCCAGGTGTAGTCCCCACTGTGTGCGTTGGGAGAATCGGCCGGCTCGTGCAGATGGGGGCCGGTACTGTACCATGCAGCCGAAGACTCTTAACATTTTTGTGCTGCCCTGCTTTCCTGTCCACAGCAGGTGCGGTGATGCGTTGTTCGGGAGAGATGATGACGAGAGCAAGTTGTGCAGCATGACGGCGTGGTCCATTGCTTTGGGCCACTGGTGGTTGGGCAGGTGCATGCCACGTAGCAGCTTGCGCATGGTGTTCTGGAGAGTCCTGTTCATTCTTTCTGCTACACCTTGCTGTTGATGGGCGTAGGGAAGGGAGATGAGCCGCTTGATTCCCCTTTCAGCCAAGTACTGCTTGAACCTCTGTGAGGTGTATTCTCCTCCCCCGTCTGACTAGAAGCTCTTTAGTTTGACGCCCGATTCTCGCTCTGCTACTGGGAGCCACGCGACGAAGGCTTCGAAGGCCATGTCTTTGCTCGGAAGGTTTAGATGCCAGACGTATCGTGTGGCGGCGTCGATGAAGGTGATGGTGTAGTTGTACGCGTTTTGTCCAGGCTCGCGGTTGTACAAGATGTCGCTATACACCTTCTCGAGTGGCGCGTAAGCTGGTGCGCTTGGGTTGTGGTGAGACGCGAACGGTTGATGTGGTAAGTCAGCTTCAGGACAGGTGAAGCATGTTCCTCGAGCTCGCTGAAGTTCTCTGCCGTCAGTTAGGAGTAGAGAGTCTTTATCGAGCACGCCTGCTCTTATCGTGTTGTTTAACACAGTGTTGCTTGGATGTCCCATTCTTGCGTGCCAGGTTCCTTCGGTGGCGCGATGTCCGGGTGAGCGCCGATACGTATCGGAGTTGGAATAGAAGCTGGCGGTGAAGTTGGCGCTTCGATGAACTTCTCGTGGTGCTGGGTGTAGTTGTTGCGCGGGTGTCGGTGGTGTGTCGTCGACGAGGAGTGGTGCCGTTGAAGGACCAGCGACTGGCGTTGACGTTCCTGCTGCTGCCGATGTTGTTTTTGCTGCTGCCGATGTTGTCTCTGCTGCTGCCGATGTTGTCTCTGCTGCTGCCGATGTTGTCTCTGCTGCTGCCGATGTTGTCTCTGCTGCTGCCGATGTTGTCTCTGTTGCTGCCGATGTTGTTTGAATTGTTGCTAACGCCCTTGTTCTTTCTGCCTCAGGGATGGTGTGTGAATACCAGAAGCCGCCGGGGCTGAAGTCTGGATCAAGGTCTGGAGGGTGGGTCCAGGAAGTGAAGGTGACGATGCCGTCGCTGTCTGCTGTGCCGAGATCTGGAACAAAAACAAGAACGAAGACGTTATTTTTCAGGATCGCCTTTCCGATGTAGAGACCGCCCTTCCCGTGGTACAGCTTGAACTCCTGAGTGGTGCTGTCTGCTTCAAGGTGGATACCTTTAGCCATCAGTTGGCTAACGCTGAGTAAGTTGTAGCCGAGGCCTTCTGCGATTAAGACCTTGGACATTTGTAGTATGACATTTGTCTCTCGTGACTGAAGTTGAACGATTCCTTGTCGTCGTGTGCGCAGGCTTTCGTTGTTGGCGACGGTGATGACTACTTCGCGTTGGAGTTGGTTCTCTCGTTGCACGAAGCGTCCTGAAGAACACATGTGTTGTCCGCAGCAACTGTCCAAGAACCACGTGTCCTTTCCGGATGGCTCGCTTTGGGGGATGGCTGCGTATGTCGGATTCTGCTGGAGTGAATCGCGGTGAGGTGTGGTGTCGTCGAGTTGTTCTTCCGGTGAGTAGTACGGTGGTGATCCCGTGATGCAAGAGTCGCTCAGTCTTGCCATGCAACTGACGATGTTCCTTGCTCCTTGTGCAGGTTGTCCTGTTGAGGTCGTTGAGGCTTTAATCTGGGTCGTAGGATTTGCTTGTGTTGAGGCGACTTGATTGCTTGAAGGTCGAAGCTGCCGCTGTGAAGGCGTTGACTGTTGTCTATTCGGGCAGTGCGTGCACGGGTGCCCTGGCGTCTTGCAGATGTGGCAGAACGGAGGTACGGGTTTCGGTTGTTGTTGTTTGTTGTTGTTGTAGCGTCGCTGAGTATGGAATGCGAATTCCGGTGTTGATGTCTTCTTCTTGTGTCGTTCTTCTTGTAGG